TGAAAAGCATCGAATCGCGGCAAAATCCGCTCCAAAAAGGGTCCTGCTGTAGCGACACACGACCAGCGACAGCAGGACCCTTTGCCCCATGGAAAGCATTGAAGAGCGATATCGCGCGGTAAATAGCCGCGATATCGCGGGAATTACCGCGCGATAAATCACTCAATGTGAACGGGGCCTTAGACAGGAGCCAATTAACCTTCCAGCATGTCTTTGGAGTGTGGGAGGAAACTGGAGTACCCAGAGGAAACCCACGCAAGCACAGGGAGAACATGCAAACTTCTTGCAGATAGTGCTGCAAGGCAGAAGTGCTAACCATTACACCGCTGGGGTGCCCCCGATATATACACACTGGGTATAAGAGGTGTGATGAAGGGATGGGACTCAGAAGATATGTAACCTACAACAACTAATTGGACTAACTACTTCATCAGTTCAAAACAGTTATGGATGCGCAATGGCGTCACCCGGTACCCGCTCCGGGTGACACCCTGCATCCGGATGCCCCTGATCTTCAGGGAAGTCTATACCAACTCCTCTTAAAAACTGCATATCTACTCTGTCAATCAGCTCATACCTCACAATGAATTCCTTTTTTATTGCTTGCCCCTACTTCTAGATTGTAAACTCTCACGAGCAGGGCCCTCTTAACTCTCCTGTATTGAATTTGTAATGTAACTTCAAACGGTTGGCGCCATATAAATCCAGTATTATAATAATAATTAAACCCTGGGCGCAGTTACATTGTAGCATGAATGCGTTCGTTTACACAATTGGAAAGGCATACAGTCTCCTACACCCATTTACTACTATGGGCGGTTGTAGACGGCAGCTGTGTATCCCAGGCATGGAAATAAGCCCACAGATTCTGCTCTATGGCCTCATGCACCGTGTACCTTACCCACACCAGGAAATGAAAGACCACTTTACTGAAGGTAGACCAGTCACACTTTCGTATTGCAAGAATGTGCACCGACATGCAAGCTTTGGCACGCATTCACGCAACGCATTAAAATGTCTGGAGTGCTTGCGGTGCCATTACCTGTTAATGGCACCCCAAACCAGTGGCGGATCCAGGGGGGGGGGGGACAGGGGCAATTTCACCCCCC